TTCCTGCTTTTTTTATTTTAAAGCTTAGAGAAAAAATATTTGACCGGTAATCTGTATCTGTTAATCGAGTATCAATAACGGATAACGGATAAAGACTATAAATGTTTGATGTATCTTAATCGTTTTGTGTTACGTTATCTGTTTAATAATAATTCTTGTCTTATTTTGAATATTTTATAAAATATAGAATATAGATAGTTTATATGTAAAGTACACCAAAAAAGGTGTTCGATTTTTTACAATTTATAGGAGGGGGTCGCGAGATTTTCGAWAATCTATAAAGTGGGGCGTAGAATAGGAGAGGTTGGGAACCACTGGTTTATGATATATGCATAATGATTATTGATTTATATATATTGATTTATATGCAATCAAAAATAGTAAAATATGCAAAAACAAATTTTTAATATTATTTACCTATTATAATTCATAATTTATTATTATTACTTATTATTAGCTCATATTATTACATAAATATTAGTTTAATTAGACGTAACTTGACACTTTCACTTTGAACTTTCGGCATATTGGACACTGTTATTAAAATCATTAAAATTATTAAGTATAAACGTCCGCACATTTACGCAACACACGATGTACTAATACAATTATTCTATGCTGTCTCACTGTATAACAATGTGTAAGTAATTCTACCAGTCGTCCGACGAAAGATAAGGTAACGAACGGATATTATCCGACCCAAGATAAAATAGGTAGTATTTTTGCTRTATATTTAAGAAAATTTAAYGGATAAACCAAAAATTGTCGGTTTCGTGAAGTACCATTTAAAATAAACAATAACTTATAAAAATTAAAAAATGTTAGTTAAAAAATATCGAGTTCTAAAAAATCTATGAATATGCAATTATATGCATTATGTCCAAAATATGCAAAAATATGCAAAAAAAAAATTGGTCCTATTTAAACGAGAATAAGCCAATTTGGGTTCGAGAAAAATTGTGAATTATTAATTATAACACCGTAATGTTATCAAACATGTGACCCGCCGCGCCGCGCGCATTCCCATATGGCCGGCCGAATACCTTCCTTGTTCCTAATAGTCATAAATTATAATCA